TTTTTTTTTTTTTTTTTATATTTTCGTATATATATTTTTTAATTTTGTGGCAAAACCAAATATTTCTTTGTTAGAATTTCTTCCTTACTGACTATACTATATATTTGCATGTTATGATTCGGTAATTTGCGTGCAATTTTCTTATTACTTAACGGAAGCGTATTCAAGAGAGTTAAGCACGTTGCGTATTTTTATGCACTAACAAAACAAACAGTAACTGTAATAATAATAATTAAAAAAAAAAAGTTTTTAAATAAATACAACAACAACAGCTGCTGAGATGGCCAACAAGCGCTACACTAAATTTTAGTTAACCCTTAAATAAACGCAAAATTTGTATGTAAGTTTTAACAATTTTTAAAATACTCGTATATCTGAAAAAAAAACGATAATTTCTTTGTAGCCACATTAGCATTCTACTTTAACCCAGAAAACTCACACAACATACCTATTTAATAAACAATTGATATTGAACTCACCTAACCTCGAAAAGTATATATTGTATGCGCTCATACTCATTTTAATTGTTGTTGAAAGTCCCATCTGTCGCGCTCTCCGCCACCTGCCACTCATATAAATAGTACAGAAATTTACCTATGCGGTTTTACCGTTATCGCTCGTGTTAACTATATGCATTTCCGAAGTAGTGCCAACTCATCAACTTACTCAAATATACATAGACATCAATACTCAATCTAAAACATGCTCATTCCCGACATCTACAAAACTCGTCGTACTCATTTATCATACGCTTAAATCGTAAATATACTCATATGGTATTCATTAGTATACTCATTTGTCGTTCTGCTTCACTCTAACTACTTATCTCTCGCTCTCTTTCTCTACCATCTACCTACAACACTCTATATTGAAACACATTCTATCTCATTCCCATTATCATAACCCCAAACCATTTTAGTAAACGTAAAAGTTCGTAGTATCTCACTTGCTCACGTGTTATTAGCGTAAAATTCATTTTGCTTTAATAGTTACTCTTCTAAGTTACGAAAAATCAGTGTCTAAAAACTTTACTCTCAATTTAGCGTATTGTACTATGCAATAGCCTTTCTCTACTTAAACTAAAAGAGCCAATTTGAGATTCTAATATAAATTTTGCTCTCTCAACCTCTTCCAATAAAAAACAAAATATATAACAAAATATATAAATAATAATAAAATATATAAATAAATAATAAAATATAAAATTAATAAACTAAAAAATTATTACCTAAATAATAATATAAAAAACACCATTGAAATGAAAAACAATCGAAAATTTTACCCTCAACGCCACTCCACTCAACTCCAAAAATAGTCCCGTCGGGTTCTGGGGCAAAATTGTTGGTTCGCTGTGTGTGATCGCTGGTGTATTGACCATCGCACTGCCCGTCCCTGTAATCGTCAGCAATTTCAATTACTTCTATCATCGCGAAACCGATCAGGAAGAAATGCAGAGTCAAAATTTCAATCACGTCACAAGTTGTTCATATTTACCTGGTGCATTGGGTGAGTCCTATTGACAATTATATTAACAATAAAATCTTGTTGAACCCCATACATATATTAAGTTAATGTTTTTGTTCTCCTAATCCATAAATATTTGTAATTCTCATCCACCTTATGCGCTTGCAGGCCAACATATGAAGAAGTCTTCTATGTCCGAATCATCATCTGATATAATGGATTTAGATGATGGCATCGATGCTACATCAGGTTTGACTGATCATCCTGACCGACATTTAGCTCCATTTTTGCGAGCACAGCAATCATTCGAAAAGCAACAATTACAATTGCAACAACAACAGAATGGCTTGCGTGGCCAAACAAATACACTGCAACTGCGTCACAATAGTGCCATGGCCGTCAGCATTGAAACTGACGTCTGACTACTGGGTAAGTGCAAATATTGCAAACATTTATGTGATACAAAACGCTTACACTCACACATAAAAACATATCATACATATTAGTCATAAAAAAATTGTGGCCGTAGATCTAGCTATTTTATAAAAACAAATATAGTTTTTAAGATTTCGAAGTTTGGCAACATCAAGTACTCTCGACGACATCAGGAATCTTAAATAATAATAGTTTTTCACTTAAAATTTTGACCGAAAATCCAGTATTCTCCAATATTAACGATTTTTCCAATAATCATCTGAAAATTTTTCGCCAAACATGCTCAAGTGGGTTTAATTTTAAACCGGAATCTTATATAAAAACATATACAAGCTTGGATGCAGGAGGTTATTTCCCCACTCTTCTTAAATCACTCACCTAGAAACTTTAGGAAAATGTATATAGCTATGTATGTGCAGGTATTCGATATATTATCCGCATTTAATTTTCTCGGTAGTCCATTCTCTCTGTTTTCTGAATGTATTCAATGAAACAACATCTACAGTACTTGTCCAATCAATTACGAACGAGAGCAAAAATTTAAAGCTTTTAAAGGGCGACAAAATATTGATATAATTCAATACAAAAATATTATAACTTAAGTTTAATTTTTCCAAAATACGCCAAATATTTATGTTTTTATTAATGATTAAAGTTAGAACTCTGCATATTTTTTTCTTCGTTCGTAATTTATTGGACAAGTACTGTATATGAAAGTCCATAAAAGAAATCCGCACCCTGAAACGATGGTACTCACTTGTTGTAGAAAGAAATTCGACGTTCTATTCCGTAAAACATGTTTGCAGAGTATGTAATCCCTTTAAGATCTTCGGGCCGGGAAGGAATTGTCCCAAATCCCTTTGTTGCTATCCTTCACCACTTACATGTATTGGAAGTCTACACGTGAAGACAAAGCACACAAAAAAATAAAATTTTTAAAAGCTACATGAAATCAGATTCCCCTTAATAAGTAATAATCACACTACCGATCAACTCGAGATCGCTTAACTTCTATAAAATAATATTTGAAATTTTGAAAAATTGTTTTTTTTTTTTTTTTTTGTAGTGAAAGAAGATTTTAATGGATCTTTTATTGACCTACGAAAGCGATACTTTGATCACGTGATCCAGAAGCTTTGCCTGAGACCTTATTTTCGTTTCTTAAAATAATTTCCAAGTTACAAATTTTCACTAGCTTCTATAATTTTTGATAACTATGATAAAAGAGGTTTACTTTCTTGCTAGGCCGCATTGATTATTATTAATAGAAATAGTACCACTCTTAGACACTTAGTTTGTAGTTTGTCTAGCGGTAGACATAGAAATCTATTAAGCTCAGGGTAACATGTCATTTACAGTAACCAGTGCTTACCAATAGCATTCATTCATTGTAAACATTCATCATTTCAAATAAAATCCAATAAATTTTATAGACACTTGCTTATTGCATAAGAAATCTTACTAAAAATTCGTTTTTAAACCAAGCAGTAAAACACTTGGAAAACGGCCTCAATTGGCAACGTGAAAAGCTGCGTTGGATGCCAGAAACGTCATCGAAAGCGGTCTAAATCCGCTTCAGTGCAAAATGAAGAATCACTGCGGTTGATGAGTAAGCAAATGTTGCAAAAGGTATAAACTGAAAATAAGTAAAGAAACCAAAAACACAAAAAAAGAAGAAACAACAAAAACCCAAAGTTAGCTCATTGTTAACAATGAAAATACAAAAAGCGAATACTTTTTTTAGAACACATTTAGAAAATATCATATTTAGCTACAGAAAATTAACTAAAATGCAAACAAACAACAAGCAGTATAAGAATTATAAAAACAAAAACAAAACAAAGAATTGTAACGAAGAAGTTATTAAATGGGAACATACTATTATAGATTTAATTATTTTGTGTATTAGCGGCGATATTAGTAAATCAAATCAAACTAACAACAATATGTATAACGAAATTCATCGAGATAAAGTCATTAACATTTTTTTTATTATTATTATTTTATTAGTAAAATTTTTTTTTACTTTTTATTGAATAATTTTTAATAGCAAAATATTAAACATACATTGAAAACATACAAACTGTTGTGTATAGTGTGCTGCTAAATATTGCATGTGTGAGCACATAGTAAGCGCAAAAAGTGATTCAGTATGAAATAAATGTCAATGGTTTACATTATGTCATTATAGACGCCGTACAAAAATAAATGCCCAGTTAAGAGGTTTATTTTAATATTATCGTGTATAGAAATTGTTGAATGGATTAGCGACATAGATGTGGTATATCCAAAAATGGTATATTGCAACCCAGGCATTAACAAAGAGCAGCTTTAAGCGTGTTAACTTAGCGTAACATTATTTTCTTAGAATAAATTGTCAGCAAAAAGGACCTATTGGGTCTCCCTGGGTTCATTATAACATTTTAAATGTCTTCGATGACATCCAGATTTTTATTTCTGTTTAAGTTCTCTCAGATCATCGAGATTCTGGCACTAGCCAGTTGGTTTGAAAACAAAATTTCTTACCATTTTCAGACCACCCAGAAAGAAATATCGGTGATCTCAAATAGTCGATTTAGTAACGTACATCCGTCGGTCCAGCTACTTTAAGATATACATCTGCTTTTATCACATATTCTTTTCTTCAAACAAGTTATTAATCGTTGAAACCGCCGATATCTGACCACTGTATCAGAACTCAAACAGTATGATCAACAGGTTCAGTCCAGTTTTTGAATGCGGAACTTTTTTATTTGACAAGCTATCTTCACGATATTTAGCAAAAACTAGTATCAAAGCAGCGTTAAAATCTTCGAAGGAATTTCTCAGATCCAACTATTATAGCACATAGCTGAAATACAACTGACCGATCGAAGTCGAGTCCTTGTACGAAAAATTCTTTTAGTTGCCAAAATATCTTCATGACATTTGGCACAGATTATAATCCAAGACTTCGCTACAACCTCCAAGCAAATTGTACAGATCGGACGACTATATCATAAAGTTGTCATACCAATTGAACCATCGGGATCAAGTGCTTGTACAGAAAACTTTTGCATTTGACGAGGTATATGCAGCAAATTTTACATAAATTATTTCCCAAGGCAGTAAGACAATATCAGATTAGACTGTTCAGATTCGACCACTATAGTTTTTAGCTGGCATACAAACAGCACGATCAAAATCTGAATGAAGATGTCTTTATATCATTTTATGCTTATAATGTGTCTGTTATAGATTCGGTGCAACAGGAGTTAATTTTTTCTTGTTTTTTTTTTTTTATTTTAAAATTTATTGTCCTTAATTCGTAAAGCTCTAAACTTGTTCGTATGTTTTCGAACAAATTTTTTCTCTTAACAAATCTTATTAACTATTATAAATTGCTGTATGAAGTGTATTCAATCCAGTTACCCACACACATATAGTCCACCCAAAATCATGCATACAGCCATAAGTACCATAAATTAATCAATAAAACTGCCGTTATGTTTAAAATATAAAATAAAATACAATGAAATACAAACAAACTGCTCGTACTCGTACATACAACAACAAATAATAAAATATAGAATCAAAATAATGTAACAAAGCCTAATAAATAGATAAATTGCCGAAACAAAAACAAAAAACACAAAGCGTAAATTTCAATGCCACAATAATGAAATCTTCTTTTGTAAATACAAAAACAATAAATTACTGCAAATACAAATCTTAACTGCAACAAACGCTACTAACAAACAAAACATAAAAACAAAAAAAAAAAAAGTATCAGCAAACTTGTAAATTATATAAAACTACTTCAATTGTAGCCAACATAGTTTTGTATAATGTTACTTTTAATTATCTTTTCTTTAATTTTGTTTATTCCCTAATTTGTCTTTAATATTTCATAGAGTAGTTTAGTACTTAGTACCTACTTAGTAAATGCGTTTATTGTTGACTTTTAGCAAAAATATATATTAAAATCTTCCAAAACTATAACTAAATTAGAATGCGTAGTGTATATGTATGAGTGTATAGCATTATCCGAAGCTCTTATGTAACTCTTCCACTATTATATATGTATGTATAGTATGTACGTATAAAAAGGTTTGTATCTAATCAGATGCTGCCTACTAAATGTTTGTGTTCATGTTGTAAATTTAGTTTAAAAAATATTATAAAATGTATGTGTTTGTAACTGTTGAATTATTGCTAGAGCTCGCTCTTAGAATCTCATAAAAAATTATTATCAAGAATTAATTATTATTTTTTTTTTATTTGATTTGCTTTTCTCAAACATAAAATAACTACAATTACTTGTTTGATACGTCATGTCTTCAATTGTTTCTAAATCTGCTCTTACATAAATAAAACATTATGCCAATTTATTTCATTCCCTTAAATCTAAAATTATGTAGACTTCTGATTAGTAAATCCATTCTCTGTTTAAGATGAACTAAAACTAGAACTTGTTCTGTAATAAAGGTATAATTAGCAGCGAATAAAATAACGCTGAGCCGTGTGTGTTGTATGTGTTATAGGACCTATAAGCAACATGGGTGCCTGCGTTCTCATCCGGACTCTTTTGTTTCTCATTATCGGAAAATTTTCTTTGATATGCATTCACATGAGTCCAACAACTTGAGGTGGCAAATTTTCTAAATTCTCTTTCACATCGCATTTTATTCTTTTGAATAATCAATTTAAATATTTAGATAAATACATATTTTTCTCAAAACCACGTTTTTCGAGTTGGTAGAGGTCCTGCATTGATAAAAAAAAAAATAATTCTTAACTGAAAAGAGCCAAAAATCGATTTTTTAAATATTATAATTTTTGCATTTTTCATTCCTTATGTAATAAGGTAGATTTTCCCCTTCAATTCTCGTTTTCTTCATATACGCGGTGTACAATAATCATAATAATATTTTTGGCTGGCTAATTTTTATCCTTTTTTTCCTTTTTTTTAATATTTCTGCTGTTATCTTATCCATATGTAACAGAA